TGGTTCAAGAGTTAAAAATCGTCTATGTCCATAATGTACCGAGGGGATACATGCTTTTTCATTTGACAATAATTGTGTTACATATTCAAAATCAAAAAAAGCTTAGAACTCCTGTGTGCTGATATTTAGACACATTAAAATTAATTCAAAATATAAGATTGGCCTTTCAAACAAGAAGCTTGGTATTTGTCTGCTATTTGAGATGCACCATGTGAAACACTGTGATCCACATTATCAAAATTTATAGTAAAGAAAATACATTTGATTTTACATCTGTTGGTTTCAGTCTAATGAATTCCAGAACATCTCTACCACAAATTCAAGTGTCTACAGTTACCAAGAATCATTGAAATAAGTTAAGTACTGTAAAATCTGTATTAGAAGCTATGGCTTCTATTAAAATGTTACAATGCAGCTTCTATTAGAGCATCTACACATACGAGAAATGGTGAATGTTTGCTTCTCAATTGTTCAAATATAATGGGTGCGACTTCTATTAGAGACGCTTTTTCTAATACAGATTTGACGGTTAATGTACTTAATATTGGTGGAATTAAATGCTAATGTAGAGATGTCACAAAACCATTTTTGGACTATTTTGATATATAAAATGACCACAGCTTTATGCCTCATTTCCTCAAAACCCATAATTGACTTGCATTTACAAAGAAAGCATTATGTCCTGTCAGATGGAAATAGAGTGTCAGCAAAATAGGGTAAGGGCACGTTGACAAAATGTTGCCAAATTCATCAAATCAAAAATATAGATAACCATGTCTTCCAGCATGCATGGTTTCTGTAAAGATTGATCAAATCTTGTGAAAGAATACAATGTACATGCACGAGTTAGACATAGGACTATAGAAAGGATGAATTCTCCTCCACTAAAATATATTTGTACACATATGCAATGTGGTATTGACTTTATTATGTAACAGTGATTATTTCAATATTATTTAAGGGATTGTCAAACACCAATTCACGGGGGTAGACATCTGGGTATTTTCACCACCCGGCAAACATCACAGTAAAAACAAAGGTTGAACACTATCAGAAAACTGTATTGTGGGATGGTTGTTAAGACTTCCCTGAACAGTGTAACAAGATTACCTCTACAACATATAAAAAATTTGGTTGCTTTGGATTACTCAAAAGTTGAGTTTGTGCGGTTTCTTTGACTTTAACTCATTGACCGGCATTCCACAGCAGCTTGCGCAGAGCTCATAGAGGACGTACAGTGGTGCATGTTTTAGCAACGTGGAACGTTCTGTGACGTAGAGAAAAGCAATAGCCAGGATATCTACCAAATGAACAGACACAGATATACTTTAACACTGAAGACATCTTTATTCCAATAAATTATTATTTGTAAGCCTAATAAGAAAATAGTAAAAATGACATGATATATTATAATCTCAGTTTTAAATGAGGCTGACAATTTATAGTGAAAAAACATACAATCTTGTTATCAGCCCCACCTCCTCAAAATTTAAAAAGAGTATATACAACGGAGAGAAGGATGGCATCTCATAAATGGTACCAGTAATTGAGCCAGATATACTGATGCTCACATAATGATTTGTTTTTTCTTAAATACCATATATTTGCTCAAATATCGCATACATTTACGTAATTTACAGACATGTTTCTACGGTCAAAATAAGTAATACGTTAATGATAAACAACAATAAATATAAAACAAATGTGATTTGGGGTTTATGTGAGCTTCTACTGGAGATGTGCTCCTAATAGAGCAAGTACAGTATGGTTTATTTAATAAATTAAAGTTCTACAGCTTATTTTCTCTTGCCCTAAGGTGCATGTAACAGAGTAGCCTGGTATACAGAGTGCTACAAGTAATTGATTCTATAATGAGTTTATAAAGATAATAAATATATAACAGACAAGTGAAGTGAAAATTCCTGAATATGTTGTGTTTGTATAATTTATTAAAAACACAACTGCAACTTCTTTACTATCAGAAAGAATGTTTGATTTCGATAAAACCCATTCAATTCTTAATATATTGGTATGAACAAGTTTTACATAATAATTCCTAATTGGGCATCCAATTACAAAATCAGAAACATGTACATTATCTATTAATATTTTACTGGGAAACGCAAATAAGATGAAAAAAAAAGATAAAATAAAAACTAAATAACTTATGGTAACTACTTTAACCCTGATCCTGCCAGCCCAATGACTAGATAAAGATTAATTTTACTTAATTTTTTTGTATCATGACAATGCTCAATTTTTAAAAAAAACTTCTGTTTTCTATATGCAAATGAGGGTAATACAGATAACAATGCATTTGATAAATCTAATTGGTTAGTAGGAAAGAGACTACAGTGATGTCATGATATATAATTGGTGTGAGATTAAAAAATAATTTATCCTCGGCTGATAAAAATGTATACTGTAAAGGGGGTAATTATTCACTGGGTTTTAATTTAGCTTATTTCGCTGACTGGGAAAATGCGCTAAATTAAAACACGGTGAATATGTAAAATTTAGCACAGAACGCATTATCTAAATGACGAAACCGTGAATTTAAAACCCACTGAATATGCCTGAAATGGTAAATCAGTGAAATTTAAACCCAGTGAAAATTAATCATTTTACAGTAACTAAAATTCTTGTTAGATTCTATGAAAATAATATACATTCATTGTTGTAGTCATTTCGACAACAATGCAGCTGTGTACTATTTGTTTTGTAATATAAATATTTAAACAACATTGCGGCCGAATATAATTAGAAATTAACATTTTACTGTTAAAAAACAGTAAATGTTTTGAAAAATATGTCCGGATTCCATTTTATTACTCCATTAATAGAATATTATTTGTATGTACAATAGAGTCTGATTGTAACAAGACTCTTATTTGAAAAATATTTTAAGTAAACATGATCAGGTTGAATTTATATAACTATGAATACATTTTTAAAACAAACAAATATATTATTTTTCTTGAAAACCATATTTCTGGCTGTTTGAAGAATCAAATTAAATAAAATTTAATAGAATAAGTTATCTAGTGGATCTGGAGAGTCAGAAGAAATCGTCTTTTTTCTCTTATTATAAATAACTCCTAGTGTTTGCTAAGTATAAAACACTGCTCCTGATTGGCTAACAAAACCCAGATTTTTGATTGGCTGGCATAAGTTACATGACAATATTTATTAAATATATACAATATCAATGTCACTTTTCATCATTAAAAAATTACACAGAAATATACAAAAGATAGATTCTTCAATTTTGAACAAAAACACAAGAATTTAAACAATGAAACATATTAATCTTTAAAAATGATTGGATTTAATAATGTTGATATAAGATGACATGTGGTATAGAATTCTGCACATTAAGTAATTATTTTTGTAATTTTGGATTTGGCCTCTTTCTGATACATGTAGTATTACACCCTTTTAATATGCAATAGAGAAGTTCCACCATTACCTTAGAAATTTTGCGTTCTGGTGTAAAAATGTTCTAATTACATCTATGTAAAGGGGGAGGGATCGATTCAAGTTCACCACATAAACAATCGATAGCTCATCAGAGTGCCTCTTTAGAAGTTCAAAAAAATAAAATAAAAACCCTGGTTGTTTTATCTTGTTTACATGGTTTAAATTACAAACTGGTTTCAACATCTTTAAATTATTAAAAAATATTGGATTTTAAAGCATGATATTTAGGTGACCAGTGATTGGTTGAAAAATCCCAATGCATGCTGGGATATTTATATACTTAAGTGTGTGAATAATATAACAGAATGACAATAAATGGAAGTCAAGTACACAGGTAATCTGGTAACATGTATACCTGGAAAAATAAGGCAATGAACATGCTCCAAATCAACAGAGACACGCAGACAGACTGACACGCAGACAGACACCAGCTGCCTGTATCCTCAGTATTGGAATACAATTTTTTACTTGAGTACTGCAAGCGAGCAGCTGCATTAAAAATAGTTCTTAAAACATTACACCACATTTTGGAAAGACCCACAATGAAAAACTGTGGAATTAGAAATCAATATCCCATCCTGAAAGCTCATTCGGTGGAATATCTGTGTCTTTGGAGTAGTTATCAAAATTACTGAAATCACTGGGTCCTTTAACCTAGAGGGAAAAAAATGAAAACTATTAGATTTAAAGTGGAATGCAGAGAACTGAGGTTTAATGAATTTTGTAAAGCAATAGTCTTCATTACCGGTACTGTTATGTTTATTTTTTATTTTTAACTTTTCTTCAATCTTATTATTTAAAGAATTACCATTTTTTTAAAACTGAATATGGCTAATATTTTGTCCAATACAAAAATGCAATTTTGTTGGCTGATATTTTTGGTTGACCAATATACTGATCAAAATTATAGCCAATATTGTTATTGATCAATAAAGTTTTTAAAAATTGACAAATCCAGGAAAATAAATCAGACTTGTTGATCAACATTGGAAATTAGCTAATATGTTTCAAGTATATTCAAAGATGCAAGCCCAGCAACATGGTTAGGTCACTGAGCAACTTGGTGAGTTGAGGTCACTGAGCAACTTGGTGAGTTGAGGTCACTGAGCAACTTGGTGAGTTGAGGTCACTGAGCAACTTGGTGAGTTGAGGTCACTGAGCAACTTGGTGAGTTGAGGTCACTGAGCAACTTGGTGAGGTCACTGAGCAACTTGGTGAGGTGAGGACACTGAGGAACTTGGTGAGGTGGGGTCACAGAGCAACTTGGTGAGGTGAGGTCACTGAGCAACTTGGTGAGGTGAGGTCACTGAGCAACTTGGTGAGGTGAGGTCACTGAGCAACTTGGTGAGGTGAGGTCACTGAGCAACTTGGTGAGGTCACTGAGCAACTTGGTGAGGTCACTGAGCAACTTGGTGAGGCCACTGAGCAACTTGGTGAGGTGAGGTCACCGAGCAACTTGGTGAGGTGAGGTCACTGAGCAACTTGGTGAGGTGAGGTCACTGAGCAACTTGGTAAGGTCACTGAGCAACTTGGTGAGGTCACTGAGCAACTTGGTAAGGTCACTGAGCAACTTGGTGAGGTCACTGAGCAACTTGGTGAGGTCACTGAGCAACTTGGTGAGGCCACTGAGCAACTTGGTGAGGTGAGGTCACTGAGCAACTTGGTGAGGTGAGGTCACTGAGCAACTTGGTGAGGTGAGGTCACTGAGCAACTTGGTAAGGTCACTGAGCAACTTGGTAAGGTCACTGAGCAACTTGGTGAGGCCACTGAGCAATTTGGTGAGGCCACTGAGCAACTTGGTGAGGTGAGGTCACTGAGCAACTTGGTGAGGTCACTGAGCAACTTGGTGAGGTCACTGAGCAACTTGGTGAGGCCACTGAGCAACTTGGTGAGGTGAGGTCACTGAGCAACTTGATGAGGCCACTGAGCAACTTGGTGAGGTGAGGTCAATGAGCATCTTGGTGAGGTGAGGTCAATGAGCATCTTGGTGAGGTGAGGTCAATGAGCAACTTGGTGAGGTGAGGTCAATGAGCAACTTGGTGAGGTGAGGTCACTGAGCAACTTGGTGAGGTGAGGTAACTGAGCAACTTGGTGAGGTGAGGTCACTGAGCAACTTGGTGAGGTGAGGTCACTGAGCAACTTGGTGAGGTGAGGTCACTGAGCAACTTGGTGAGGCCACTGAGCAACTTGGTGAGGTCACTGAGCAACTTGGTGAGGCCACTGAGCAACTTGGTGAGGTGAGGTCACTGAGCAACTTGGTGAGGTCACCGAGCAACTAGGTTAGGTCACTGAGCTACTTGGTGAGGTCACTGAGCAACTTGGTGAGGCCACTGAGCAACTTGGTGAGGTCACTGAGCAACTTGGTGAGATCACTGAGCAGCTTGGTGAGGTCACTGAGCAACTTGGTGAGGTGAGGTCACTGAGCAACTTGGTGAGATCACTGAGCAACTTGGTGAGGTCATTGAGCTACTTGGTGAGATCACTGAGCAACTTGGTGAGTTGAGGTCACTGAGCAACTTGGTGAGGTGAGGTCACTGAGCAACTTGGTGAGGTGAGGTCACTGAGCAACTTGGTGAGGTCACTGAGCTACTTGGTGAGGTCACTGAGCAACTTGGTGAGGCCACTGAGCAACTTGGTGAGGTCACTGAGCAACTTGGTGAGGTCAATAAGTAAATTGCTTAGCCAATTATTGTGATATAATCCTATGTAAATTATCCATTATTCATAAGCAAATTATTCATAATGCAACAGTAATCTACACTTTAAATGAGGTAACACTGGCTGTTGTCTGTGATCTCACACAACAAAACATTAGCTAGATTGTGATTATTTCTATAAGTGTTTCTATCTAGAATTAAGATTTGGGGTTTTATCTGTGACACACTCATCCAGTCACTCTGTATTGTCATTACTTTATTTGTGAACATTACAATATGGTAGAATATCTGTGACGGACTAATTTGATGACGTACCTTTGGTTGTATAGGTGGTATGATAGTCTGTTTTTGTAGTCCATCCCAATCAAATCCTTGGAACCATCTAGAATAATAATAACAGTTTCAGATTACAATTTAATGTGTGCAAAATGGAATACTGATGTTTTTATTATTATATCTATCTGTTTGGTAGGGTTCACAAGGGACCCTTAACCTTTCCACCACCAGACATTCTCACCCAAATTCTTCTGTACTTTTTTTCAATATTTCTCGAAATGAACCCTTTTTTAGAGGAAACAGACAAAATTTGAGTCCAATTTCAGTTTTTACACAACAAATTTTGGATATTTTTGTCCCAATCTTCTTAAGTAAAATTCAGACTATTAATATAACTATTGTGTGAATTTGTGATGAAAATAAGGAACTGGTGGTGAGAAGGTTAACAACACATTAGTTCAGCAGTATTCAAATTACTAGGCCACAGGTTTGATCTCTTAGGAATTATGTATTAAATAATTTTTACAGAATTAATCATATTTCAGTCCTCTAAGATAAATTGTATATGCAACTCTTAATAACTGCAAGTGTTTTCAAGAGGGGCATATACAATTAATTTAATGGGACAATAGAGGGTAGAGGTTAATTTGGTTAAAGTTCAGTCTATAAAGATAAAGTTATGCAACTTTGATATCTATGTGCAGTAATGCGTGATAAAGTACCGTGTGCACATCAATTTATTGCATTTATAAAGCAATCACATCCCAGAATGTAGTGATTGCTTATAGAAAAGTTGTCGCTGATTTCAATAACGCAATACCTATTCCATGCTTTTCAAATATGCATGGATACTTGCAAAACGCCCAGAGACAAATACAGTTCAGCTACAGAATCAGTCAGTAGCACAGTTGATATTATCAAAATTTCAACAATCTTTATCACATATCACATTATTTACATACTCTGATATCTGATAAATCTTTTAAAACACTTACTTGTGTTTCTTGATGTCCAGGATTCCATTCTTTTGATAACCGAGCCGCTCAGATGGATTATCTCGACAAAGCTTCTTGATAAGATTTGTAGCATTACGACTAATTTTCTTTGGGAATTCAACAATATCTATACCCTTCAGTATAATATTGTATGTCTTCATTGGATCAGAACCTGAGAATGGAGGACTGAAACAACAAACAAACATGTTGAAGATGATAAGAGCCTATTCGAATGATATCATTAAGCATTGCATCATGGGATTAATTATTAACAAAAAAATCAGTAAATAAAAACGAAAATAGTGACATTTTATAATTTTATGTAAATACTTCTTCAATGCAAATAAAATCTTCCAAAAATTACAATTGAGTAATTTCATATTCCAACATCCAACATAGTTATGATGAAGATAGTTAAGATGAAGTTTCAATCAATTCAATAACTGTTATCTGACCAACTCAGATCGACCGCTAACTGACCAATTCACAGACTCACTGTTAACTGACCAACTCACAGACTCACTGTTAACTGACCAACTCACAGACTCACTGTTAACTGACCAACTTTCAGACTCACTGCTAACTGACCAACTTTCAGACTCACTGGTAACTGACCAACTTTCAGACTCACTGTTAACTGACCAATTCACAGACTCACTGTTAACTGACCAACTCACAGACTCACTGTTAACTGACCAACTCACAGACTCACCGCTAACTGACCAACTCACAGACTCACTGTTAACTGACCAACTCACAGACTCACTGTTAACTAACCAACTCACAGACTCACTGTTAACTGACCAACTTTCAGACTCACTGCTAACTGACCAACTCACAGACTCACTGTTAACTGACCAACTCTCAGACTCACAGCCAACTGACCAACTCACACACTCACCGCTAACTGACCAACTCACAGACTCACTGTTAACTGACCAACTCACAGACTCACTGTTAACTGACCAACTCACAGACTCACCGCTAACTGACCAACTCACAGACTCACTGTTAACTGACCAACTCACAGACTCACTGTTAACTGACCAAGTCTCAGACTCACTGCTAACTGACCAACTCAAATACTGACCGCTAACTGGTTTCAGTCTGACTGCTAACTGACCAACTCACAGACTGACCACTAACTGACCAACTCACATACTGACTGCCAACTGACCAACTCACAGACTGACCACTAACTGACCAACTCACAGACTGACTGCTAACTGGACATCTCAGACTGACTGCTAACTGATTAACTCAGACTGACTGCTAACTGACCAACACACAGACTGACGGCTACATTGTAATTGATTAACTCAGTCTGACTGCCAACTGACCAATATCAGACTTACCGCTACATTGTAACTGACCAACTCAGACTCACCGTTAACTGACCAATTCAAAGACTGACCACTAACTGACCAATTCAAAGACTGACCACTAACTGACCAATTCATAGACTGACCACTAACTAACCAATTCATAGACTGACCACTAACTGACCAATTCACAGACTGACCAACACACAGACTGACCACTACATTGTAATTAATTAACTCAGTCTGACTGCGGTCTGTTTGGGGACACAGTCTACTATTGTAACATCTTTAGTGCACATCTTTAATAGTTGTGATTTAATTACGCTAGTAAGCTACTTTGATGTTAGATAAATATTGACAATGACAATATAATGACAAATATGATTGGCTATTTTGATAACACAACACAGTTATCAGCAAATCAAAATACAGGTTACAAATAATACAGTACTTACTTTCCGGTAAGAAGTTCAAACATCAGTATACCCAGTGACCAATAATCTGCAGAAAGGTCATGACCTTTATTGAGAATGATTTCTGGGGCAACATATTCTGGTGTTCCACAGAAAGTCCATGTTTTACGACCAAATCCAATTTTCTTGGCAAAGCCAAAGTCAACCTATAACCATGGTAAAACAAGATTAGTAAGTAAATGAACATATAGTGAAGGATCTACAACAGGATCCTTTCTCTATTTATTTATCCTTTACCCAACAAATTTAAATAATTTGAAAAAAATATTTTGGTACATATTTTGGTTGGACAAACTATGAAATATTAAATTAAGTTTTAAGGGAAGCGAGAAGTAAAATAATTTGTTATTCCCCCAAAGACTAGAAAACATAGTCTGCTTTGACTCTTTTGAATGACCAATTGATTTTTTTTGAACCATTTTTTTTTTTGTACAACAATTTTCATATTTGTATGTGTTTTATCATATTTTGCGATGAAATGGACAGAATTTCCTATTTACTGCAAGTCTTGATTAACATTTTTGAAAATATATAGGAAAATTACAAATTTGTTTTTGTTTAACTATTTGAGCGCCATAATTTCTCCTGCCAACAATTTTGTCTATATTCAAGTATTTTTCTATAACTTTTCTGATTATTTTGGACCAAAGAGACATATTTTTCTATTAGCTATAGATCTTGATTAAAATTCTGAATAAAATCTGTCAAAAATTTAACATTTTATTTTTCGAATAGTTATAGAATTTGACCCGAAAGGCTAATTTGCTTGGTTCATTATTGAATTTACCACACAAACAAATTCAGAGTGATACATTCATAACTTACCAGTTTAACATATCCCCTGTTATCAAGCAGAAGATTCTCTGGTTTCAAATCTCTATACACAATACCTTTATTGTGTAAGTAACTAAAGGCTTCCACCACACATGCTGTAGCAAATCTTGTTGTGTTGTCATCAAAAGAACCCCTAGGTAAGTAGAAAAAAATCAAAAAAACATTTTATAGCAGTCATTTAGCCCTTTCACTATCAGTTGCCCTTTTTCATACCAAATTTACAAAATAGTCCCGTTTATAGTCTGTACTTTCCTTCACAAAAGAAAAAAACGAAAATTGACTAAAATTTTATCTGTTGGCTCTGAAATTAATGAATTAATGAACAAAGATGTATATTAGAACAGAATATCTTTTAATTAATAAAGTCATTTAACATTTTTCAACAATCGCTGAATTTTGAGTTACAAACTAAACTGTATTGTCAAAGCAAATAAACATATGTTTTCTAATAAACATACAACTGTATATTTGTACGAAAGTAGAGGTTAATACCTATCTCTAAGTATAGTCCACAGTTCACCACCAAGGCATACTTCTATAAGCATATATACATATTTACTATCTTTAAAAGTTCGATATAATCTGCAGAGAGAGATAAAACGAGATACAATGAATACGGGTAAGGTTTATACTAGTTGGTTGTTGTGCCATGATTGGTAGGCCAAGCGTTTGAATCCTATCCATGATTGAACACAAAACAGGGGCTGATGGGAAGGCCAATACCACTGTACCATGTGTGATTGTGTCAAACTCAATAGGGAGACCAATGCCACTGTACCCTGGGTGAGTGTGACAGACTCAATAGGAAGGCCAATGCCACTGTACCATGTGTGATTGTGTCAAACTCAATAGGAAGGCCAATGCCACTGTACCCTGGGTGAGTGTGACAGACTCAATAGGAAGGCCAATGCCACTGTACCCTGGGTGAGTGTGTCAAACTCAATAGGAAGGCCAAAGCCACTGTACCTGGGTGAGTGTGTCAAACTCAATAGGAAGGCCAAAGCCACTGTACCTGGGTGAGTGTGTCAGACTCAATGGAAAGGCCAATGCCACTGTACCCTGGGTGAGTGTGTCAAACTCAATAGGAAGGCCAATGCCACTGTACCCTGGGTGAGTGTGACAGACTCAATGGAAAGGCCAATGCCACTGTACCCTGGGTGAGTGTGTCAAACTCAATAGGAAGGCCAATGCCACTGTACCCTGGGTGAGTGTGTCAAACTCAATAGGAAGGCCAAAGCCACTGTACCTGGTTGAGTGTGTCAGACTCAATGGAAAGGCCAATGCCACTGTACCCTGGGTGAGTGTGTCAAACTCAATAGGAAGGCCAATGCCACTGTACCCTGGGCGAGTGTGTCAAACTCAATAGGAAGGCCAATGCCACTGTACCCTGTGCGAGTGTGTCAAACTCAATAGGAAGGCCAATGCCACTGTACCCTGGGTGAGTGTGTCAAACTCAATAGGAAGGCCAATACCACTGTACCCTGGGTGAGTGTGTCAGACTCAATAGGAAGGCCAATGCCACTGTACCCTGGGTGAGTGTGTCAGACACAATAGGGAGGCCAAAGCCACTGTACCTGGGTGAGTGTGTCAGACTCAATGGAAAGGCCAATGCCACTGTACCCTGGGTGAGTGTGTCAAACTCAATAGGAAGGCCAATGCCACTGTACCCTGTGCGAGTGTGTCAAACTCAATAGGAAGGCCAATGCCACTGTACCCTGGGCGAGTGTGACAAACTCAATAGGAAGGCCAATGCCACTGTACCCTGTGCGAGTGTGTCAAACTCAATAGGAAGGCCAATGCCACTGTACCCTGGACGAGTGTGTCAAACTCAATAGGAAGGCCAATGCCACTGTACCCTGGGTGAGTGTGTCAAACTCAATAGGAAGGCCAATGCCACTGTACCCTGGGTGAGTGTGTCAGACACAATAGGGAGGCCAATGCCACTGTACCCTGGGTGAGTGTGTCAGACTCAATAGGAAGGCCAATACCACTGTACCCTGGGTGAGTGTGTCAGACTCAATAGGAAGGCCAATACCACTGTACCATGGGTGAGTGTGTCAGACTCAATAGGAAGGCCAATGCCACTGTACCCTGTGCGAGTGTGTCAAACTCAATAGGAAGGCCAATGCTACTGTACCCTGGGCGAGTGTGTCAAACTCAATAGGAAGGCCAATGCCACTGTACCCTGTGCGAGTGTGTCAAACTCAATAGGAAGGCCAATGCCACTGTACCCTGGACGAGTGTGTCAAACTCAATAGGAAGGCCAATGCCACTGTACCCTGGGTGAGTGTGTCAAACTCAATAGGAAGGCCAATACCACTGTACCCTGGGTGAGTGTGCCAAACTCAATAGGAAGGCCAATACCACTGTACCCTGGGTGAGTGTGTCAGACTCAATAGGAAGGCCAATGCCACTGTACCCTGGGTGAGTGTGTCAGACACAATAGGGAGGCCAATGACACTGTACCCTGGGTGAGTGTGTCAGACTCAATAGGAAGGCCAATACCACTGTACCCTGGGTGAGTGTGTCAGACTCAATAGGAAGGCCAATACCACTGTACCA